CTGGCTGAGGCAGGGCCGCAGAAGGAAGGACCCACCAGCTCCTGGGAGAGAAGCCACTCTGTGCCACGTGCCACAGCTATGATGCAACGGTTTCTGGAGAATTCATAAGTAACTAAATTTTTTTAAAATATATATATATACCTCTAATTGGCCATTTGACGAAAGAATGCTCACACTGACCTCTTTGCTAGCTGCCAGCTAATCAATTGACCACCCCCCCAAACTTACCAGCAAGTCACAGTCCCCAAACTCCGTGCAGTTCTCCCTCCACATGCGGCAAATTCTGTCTTGCCTTTGTTCTTTGATTCTGTCTAAGGGCTGACTTCTCACCAGTGAGAGGCACTTAGCATGCGAAATAACCAAACTGCTTGCAAAATAGCTTTGTAAAGGCATCGAATCATCCTCAGATAAATGAAATGGTGTGTTCCTGGAGGGGGCGGGGTGGAAAGGAGCCTGTGTGCCCTTGTCATGGGCCCTCCTTGATGGTTGCTGACCCACCATGCCTGGAGAGCCCTGCCGGAGCCTCATGGTGGGGGTGGCTGTGCCTCTGGGGGGCTCTGGTGGAGAAGCTACGGGGAAATGTTGGGCTCGGCAGGCAAATTACCCAACTCTCCTAACACGTGCGCTAAGTGCATGAGCTAGTTTTGTGCTGTGTTACTTTTGTTGCATAAGAAAGCACCCCCAAAATTAATGTCTTGCAACGATACTCACTCACTCATGACTGGGTCAGTCGTCTGGCTGGGGCTTCCCCGGGGCGAGCGTCTGTCACATGCAGCTGGTGCTGGCTGAAGGCAGGAGCATAGGACAAGCGGGGACACGTGTCCACAGCAGCCCCATTGCACGACCCTTCCTGGCCTCTGCGACATCGCAATTTCTATGTCCCACTGGCCCAAGCAGGGCACATGGCCAAGGTCAGATTCCAGGGGCTGAGCAGTGGATGGCAGCTCTTGCTGGGAAGAGAGGTGAAGCGCTGTGTGAGGAAGCGAGCGAACAGGGTGGGAGCCGCTTGCATGAGCTGCCACACCACGTGTGTCTGATACAGGCCTTCCCAGGCTGCCAAGCCCCGCCGAGCCCCAGAAGCCTCCCAACGTGCCCTTTCCTGTGAAAGCGACTTGAGGTCGTAAGCTGATTCCTGGACATGTATTGGATTCATACTTATTCCCCACTGTGTCCTCACCTAGCTGGTTCTTTTTTATGAGGAATAATTGACAACTGCGTACGTTCCAAGTCTACATGTGGGTGACAGGCATGGGGCAGTTCGTAACACACCCATCACCACACATTACTTCCTTCTTTCTGGGGGAGAGTGCTTAAGATCTACTCTCTGAGCAACTTTCCAGAGCTGCATGTGGTGTCCGACTGACGATGGTCAGAATTACAATTTTTTTACTTTATGATGCCAGGAAAGTGATAAAAGCATACTTTGAATTTTGTTTTTTTCATTTTTTTTCATACTTTGAATTTTGAATACAGGCCTCTTCCTGGGCTAGGAATTGGGAGATGATCATCCGTCATGATACATGGTACTGGCCGTTGCTCCCACGTAGCCTTGTGGTCACTAGGGTCAGCTACCCACACGCTGTCCTCCAGTCTGTCCCCACACAGACATTCTGTTTGTCACTTCCAGTCCAGCATTCAAAACATTGTAAAATAGGCTTTGTGGGAGATGATTTTGCCCAACTGTAGGTTAGCATGGGTACACTGAGTCTGGTCCAGGTTGGCCAGGCCAATGTTTGGGAGTTTAGGAACTCTGTTTTAAGTCGAGGAACATCTGTAGTCAGTTGTTACCAATTAATTGATCTGTTGAACTGAGTGGAGTCGCGTTGAGTTTGTCCTTTCTCTCTAATCACAAGTTCCATGAAGGAGTGTGGGATTGCTCTGTTGCATTAACCCCCCTCCTGAAGCTCCCAGAATGACACCAATAGGTGGAGAACCCTACAGACTCCCAGGACCACTAGCTGAGTGGCAGAAGGATCAGGTGCAGAGCCAGCTAGGTTCAGGGCACCGTCTGAGGAAGGTGAGGCCCTGGCTGGTAGGCCTGGCACTGGGTGCTGCTCCTTTGGGCTGGCCAGACCCACATAAGTGAGATCACCTCTGGAGACTCAGGAGGCTGCAACTCTCAGCAACAGGGACAGCGTGGCATTCCTTCCCCACTGGGGGAGACCCGCGTTTGAGGGGTGATAGTAGGAAGAGACCCGCTGGTCCACCCAGGCCTGCAGGCTTTTGTGAGCAGAGGCTTGTGGGCTTCCTGTGCTCCCTGCCCCAGGCCAGGCCCATATCACATCAGCTGCTGTTCTCATGGCAAATGGCTGTTCCAGAACCCAGGCTTCAAGGCTGGGCCAACGCACTGGGGAGGACAGTCCTTTGTTGTGGTTGCTTCCTCTCTGCCCTCACCCCTCTGCCCAGCGCTGCTTGAGATCCTGGTTCCAGATTAGCTCCAGAACTTTCTGAGACTTGAAGTCACCTGGGACAATGTATTCCAGATCGGACCAGCCCCTGGGAATGGAGGGCACCCTGCCATGGCGGAAGGTGAACCCTTAGGTACTTCATTGGTCACAGGCTCAGAAACAAGTTTTCCATGGGAATTTCCATCCCGGGTGGTGGACAGGGGTGTGACATGGTCATCCAGCTATACCCGTTTATTCACTAAACTTCCTTCACTCCCCACTGTGTGCCTGCCGCCCTCCCAGGAGCTGGAGAGAGAGCACACATGCCAGGAGAACACCAGGAAGGGGGAGGCGCCCAGCCAGAGAGTCCAGGGGGATGGCGGTTTGGGGACCACCTGACCTGCTCCTGGCTCCTCCTCTGAGGAGGACACAGCCGCTGTCCCTCTGGAGTTCGGTCTAGGACCAGTGGCTCCCAGTCTGGGAGACTCTTTAGAGTCAGCTGGGAGCTCAAAGAAAAGTCCCAGTGCCAGGGTCTCACACTCAGAGTTGCAAACCTGCCTGGTCCGTGTGGGCCCGGGGACGGTGTTTTCAGCAAACTCTCCAAGTGACTGTAGCGTGCCTGGGGGAGCAAGAACACGGTGGGTATGCACTGAGCTCTGCCACGGGTAAGGGACGCACAAGGCATGGACAAGAAAATGGCAGGCTGGGTCCTGCCTGAGTCTGAGAGGGCGGGGCTGCCCTGTGACTCCCAAGGGCACAGGGTGTCCTCATGCAGGACAGTGGCAGGATCCCTGGGCATGTTGGGCCCCCTTTAGACCCACAGTTCCCTGTGCTAGAGCCCCATCTGGCAGAGGCTCCCAGTGGGCAGTCTGAAATGGTCACCTGCCCATCCCTTGGCCTGCCCTAGACACCCCACAGACACATTGTGTGATTGCCCCCAGGCCAGCCAGTTTAATAATCCCTCACATTTTTCTAGCAGTTGGTAAAGACAGGCAGGTTCAGGAAGAATAGTTCCATGACAGAGAGGTAGAAGCAGGCCCAGAGAGATGCATGACCCACCTACGGTCATACAGCTAGTGCCTGCGTGTGAGGATCCCCGTGGTGCTCACCAGCCTGGACTCTGCTGCCTCCTGCCCCCACCCCACACCAGGACATGAGGCAGGCAGTGTCACCGCTCAGGGACCAGCATCTTCTGTAATGCTGGGCAGAGCCATGAGGTGCCTCATGGACAGTGTACAGTGTCCATCCCCAGCGGGGAGTCAGTGAGGTCTGTGACTTGTTGCTTAGATTCTTGCCCACAGTGAACCCAGTTATTATAGTAACCTGATGCAATTCTTTATTATAGGATGGATGGTTTTCATTTTGTGTTTGAAGAGTCTGGTCAGTAGTCACATTGCCATGGCTTGGCCCGGTCGGTGGCAGTTAGGAGCAGAGGGGATCCACCCAGCAGCCATTAGGGCTTTTTTGTGTCTGCAGAGGTAGAAAGCTGTATCTGAAAGTTGTCCCCCACCCCCCTAGCTCAGCAGCACTGCAGAAGGCAGGATGGGAGTCCTGGCTGGGTGCTGGGCTGAGTACCTTTCCTGGCTAGGTATCAAACCTTCCTAATTAGAGCCATTGAGCCAGGACTGTTTGCACAGTGCCTCCTAGCTCCCCTCGAGGAGGCTGTGCTCAGGGCTGGTTTGTTTAACCTTGAATCCTCAGGCGGATGTCTTTGAGAACGAGGCCTGGGCTTTCCCAATGTGTGAGTCCTAGCACCAGCCAGGGCTGGGCACCCAGCAGGTGCTCACCTTCATGGCAATGTAGCAGGGATGTCCACTGCAAGGAGGGCCTTCCATCATCCCTGAGCCCATCCCCTCCTAGCTCGGAGTAGTAGCAGCTGGGACTTCCCGGCTGACAGGCAGGATTCTGATCCCCTGTGCACCCGAGTCCAGGGCAGCCTCACAGTCCTGGCCACCAGCAGAAGTAGCCTGAGAGACAGGAAGGCTCATAGTATAGCCAGGATCACAGAGCTAGTTAGTGTTGGGGTCCTGACCCTGACTTACCCAGGATCACAGAGCTAGTTAGTATTGGGGGTCAGTGTCCTGACCTACCCAGGATCACAGAGCTAGTTAGTGTTGGGGTCCTGACCCTGACTTACCCAGGGTCATGGAGCTAGTTAGTGTTGTGGTCAGGGTCCTGACTTACCTGGAATCCCAGAGCTAGTTAGTCTTAGGGTCAGAGTCCTGACCTGCACACCCTGGCTCCTGGGATGCCACCGTTAACACTCTGTGGCTTGTGTGGGGTCAAAGTCCTGCCAGCACATGGATATCCCTTTTCTGCTTGGGGAGAGGAACCTGCACCAGCGCTGGGGACTTCGCTTATGTGGGAACATGACTCTTTCACCTCCACATCCCCATCCGGGGCCTGGCAGGGGGTGCAGGATTGTGTTTTAACTAGAACGAGCGGCTCTTCCTCCTCTTCATGGAATGGCTAGTTTAGGGGCGCCTTGAGGCAGGAAGGGGCCTGGGAAGCAGTCTGGAGTCGCGAACAGGGCCCTGAGCACACAAGGCAGACCTCCCTGGAGGGCCCCGAGGCGAGCTCTGGCCCCTCTAACAGGCTCTCTGCTCCCGCCAGCTCTTTGTGATTGACAACGGCGCAGACGACTGGCGTATTGCCATGACCTACGAGCGCATCCTTCACATCAGCCTGGAGATGCTGGTGTGTGCCATCCACCCTATCCCCGGTGAGTACAAGTTCTTCTGGACAGCCCGCCTGGCCTTTTCCTACACTCCGTCTCGAGCAGAGGCCGACGTGGACATCATCCTGTCTATCCCCATGTTCCTGCGCCTGTACCTGATTGCCCGCGTCATGCTGCTGCACAGCAAGCTATTCACTGACGCCTCATCCCGAAGCATCGGGGCACTCAACAAGATCAACTTCAATACCCGCTTCGTCATGAAGACCCTCATGACCATCTGCCCTGGCACCGTGCTGCTTGTGTTCAGCATCTCGCTGTGGATCATTGCTGCCTGGACGGTCCGTGTCTGTGAAAGGTAGGGCTGCATCTGCACTCCCAGCGGCTGGGGGGAGGGGAGGCACAGGTGCAGGAGGAGGGGCAGGTGCCTGTACACCTGGGGGAGGGCTGGAAGGGGCATGCGGCCAGGTGTGCTGGGAGCCTGCACCACCATCCTTGGTGGGCGGGTCGTCTGTAAGCCAGTGTGTGCTCATGTTCTGTGCCATCCCTTGCCTTTCTCATGAGAGATACTTTGCAATTCTGTATTATCTTTTCGTCTTGGGCATTAACGATGCTCACCAACATTTTCAAGGCTTTGGGAAGTTCTGCAGTGAGGAAACTGGTTTAATTTTGTTTAATATAGATTTTCTCAAAAGTGTTCACCCAGAAATCCTTTTTGTTGTATGCTATTGATGCCTCACTGCCCGCCGTGTGGTACACACAACCAGCAGCAGTATAGCTAGGAACTCATTAGAATGTGGAACCTCAGGCCTCATCCCAGGGCTGCTGAGTACACATGCATTTCAACAAGTGTACCTGGTGACTGGCAGGCACCTAAAAACTTGAGAAGCATGGTGTGGAGGGAACATACTTCGGGAAACACTGTTTCAGGAGCTGGTGCTGAGCAAAGAGGAGGATGTGGCCTCACAGAGAGACCCACCTGCAATGCAGAGCGCCAGCCCCTCTGAACTGCCATCACTGAGGCTTGAGGGCCAGACAGTGCCACCTCCTCCCACTGTCACCTCAAGCTGCCTGCGAGGACTCCTGTCCCTTTCAGGCTAGCCCTTGATATTCCTTCCAATCTGAGCTCCCATGTGGAGTCTGAACACCTCTGTTAGAAACCCAGATTCTCTAAGTTGCTGTGAGACCTTGGGCAAGTCACTTGACTTCTCTGGGCCTCAGCATTCTTGCTTTATTTTTTTTCTTGCTTTATTTTTAATTTATGTTTAAAGATTTTATTTATTTATTAATGAGAAACACAGAGAGAGAGGCAGAGACACAGGCAGAGGGAGAAGCAGGATCCATGCAGGGAGCCTGATGTGGGACTCAATCCCGGGACTCCAAGATAATGCCCTGGGCCAGAGGCAGGCGCTAAACCACTGAGCCACCCAGGGATCCCCAGCATTCTTGTTTTAAAATGAGGATCTCTTCATTTTTTAAAAAATGATTTTATTTATTTATTCGTGAGAGACACAGAGAGAAAGAGAGGCAGAGACACAGGCAGAGGGAGAAGCAGGCTCCATGCAGGGAGCCCGACTTGGGACTCGATCCTGGGTCTCCAGGATCATGCCCTGGGCCGAAGGCGGTGCTAAACCACTAAGCCACCGGAGCTGCCCGAGGATCTCTTCAGAAGGAAGGAAGAGAAGTTCACTTGAGAGACGTTATTTTTATTACATGGGGAGGCCCGGGCAGGCACCCTACATAGTCATGTGGACCCTGGCAGTCTCCTTTAACTTGCTCATTGCTGCATCACCAATCTTCCATGCACCTGTGTCCCAGCAGAGACAAGAGGGATGAAGGAGAGTTAGCTGAAAACATCTCACGTGGGTACATTGAACCAGATTTCCCACCTATTTTGAGATGTTCTGTTTGCAGATATTTCTTCCAGATATTTGGCCAGTAGACTCACTGTCAAGGGCGTTCTTCTGCTGCAGGACAAGGGCCCCCAAGCATGACAGGGTCAGTCCCTGCTGGCAGTGCAGGGTTGGGAGACACTTCTTGTGTACAGAGCCCTGGGGACTCAGAACCCAACCTCAGGGCAGCTGGTGCTGCAGCACCCACTCTAGGAGGGGCTGTATCTCACGCCGCCTGGTGAGCCCTTCCTGGTGAGCACTCTTTGCAGTGGGGAAAGCCTATGCTTGGATCCCAGCCCCACATCCTCTACATGCTCCTGGCTGAGCCACATCTGGCTGGTCATGGCACCTCTCTGGGCCTCAGTTTTATTACCTGCAAGCTGGGGTAGTGACACCTACTTTCCAGGATTTGTCATTGGAACAAAGCGAGTAGTGTGTGGCCCTGCCAGCTATAGTGCGGCAATGGTGGGAATCCACTGTAACAGTGGAGCGCTCTGGGGAACCCTTGAGAATTCTATGGCTGCTTTGGATAATGAGAAGCAGCCAGTTCCCACCCCAGGTGGGCCCCTACTTTCCTGTTCTCCTTTCCAAATGGTTGGAGCTGAGTCTATAATAACGGTGACTGAATTTGCAAAGCCCTTTCCGACATTTAAAATGCTCTGCAGGGACGCCTGGGTGGCTCAGCGGTTGAGCATCTGCCTTTGGCCCAGGGAATGATTATGGGATCCACGATCGAGTCCCACATCTGGCTCCTTGCAGGGAACCTGCTTTTCCCTCTGCCTATGTCTCTGCCTCTCTCTCTCTGTGTCTCTCATGAGTAAATAAATAAAATCTTAAAAAAAATAAATAAATAAATAAATAAAATAAAATAAAATAAAATAAAATAAAATAAAATAAAATAAAATGCTCCGCAGCCTGACACCCGGCCCGCTCGGCATGTATGCTCACCTGTGCTCACCCGTGCTCACTTGTTCAGATGAACGAGTGAACTGGGCTCAAAGTGTCTGCAAATGAGATTCATTGTTTATTGAACCTGCCACAAGTCGGTGACTATTTTTACTACCATGCTCCCAAAGTACTCTGTTGCCTTGTACTTCGCGTGGAAGGGCCTGCAAGGCTCCCGAGTAGCCCGCCAGGCCTCTGCCCAAAGACACAGCTGGCCCAGCTGAAGGCCGCAAAGAGCAAGTCAGAGCCCTCCTGGAGCTGCCCCTTCCCCAGCCACCCCTTGACCAACGGTTTCTGTTCCGATAGACCTGGGGCACACCACAGTCTTGTCCCTTGTGTCCCAGCTGGCTGCCAGTCCTGTGTGACATGCCAGCTGGGTATCACCTCTGTGGCCTTCCAGTAGGCCTATGGTGGAGGGGCCACCAACATCCCCATTTGAGAGCTGAGGAAACTGCTGGCACCACCGGCCTGAGGTTGCAGAGCCAGAGCTGGAACTCCTGGCTATCTGTCCCTGTCCCTAGGCCGGGCCTCGAGCTCATGGGGAGGCTGTGGCCTGGACTCCCCTGGGGCACCCCAACATGAAGGGCTCACAGCCACACAGGCTGGCGCTTAGATGCCGGGACTCCGCCGTTTGTGCACTCGCCCTTTCATCACTGTCCTCGGGGCCAATTTCATGGTGAATTCCAGGGTCGCCGCCCTCTACCCCTGCATGCCCGCCTCGTGCTGGCCCCCTTCCCTCCAGCCCCCTTCCCTCTGTGGGGGCTGTGGCCAGTGGTCGAAAGCTGCCCAGGCAGAGGGAGCTGGTCAGCGTAGGAGTGGAAAGGCCCCTCACCTCGGCTGCCCTGCTTGCTGCACATGCCCGGGCACTAATGCTGAGAGTGGCCCCAGTAGAGTTCCTGCTTGAGACTCTTGCTCAGAAGTCTGGCCTCCGTGAACACATGTACATATCAGCAGGTTTTCTCCTGCTCCAGGGAAGCACTTCTCTTACGGTGGCTGAGGAGTTCCCTTTAGAATGTGGTGTAGATGACCACTATCCTTTTGCAGCGTCCAGCACTAGGCAAGACAGGCAGAGCCCCTGAGACCGGAGCCTGTCGATCACAGACTGGCAAGTGGACACAGGGCTGCTTGGGGGCACATGCGCAAGATGGCCTTGGTCTCGCTTAGCTGACCCAACGATGGCTCTGTTGCCCCAGACGGCGGAGAGGGCACATGACTCGCCTGGGGTCACATAGCAGTGTGGCAGGAGAAACCACAGGTTCTGGAGAAACCACTGTCTGCCAACGCCTAGAACGGGGCGGCTCTTGCAGGCCAGGCTTATCTCCGCTTGTATACACACACTCCTCGAGTTGCCATGGAAATCCCTCTTCAGCAAGATGCAATTTAGAAGACATTTCTCATTTCTTAGTTGACTTTTATGTGACAGGAAAGGTTTCTCGTGTTTCCTCCTTCCGAGGAAGGGGAAGTTAGCAGCCCGCCAGCGCAGTCCGCTCCGGTTGCTGGGAGGGCAGGGACAATAGCAGGCTTGTTTTCCTTGGACTCGGCATGGCCTCACATCACGGGCGGCAGGCCTGACAGCCCGGCACTCCCGTTCCCCAGGATTCTCCTGGCCGCCTGCCCGCCTGCCCGCCTCCCACAGGCCTCCCAGAGCCCATTGAAGGAAGCTCCTCACTAAACACTGTTACACGCACACACAAGCAGCCGAGCAGGTGGAGGGCCCTGGTTCTCGGGCCGCAGCTGGACACGCGTGGACAATGGGCTTTCCTGGCCCGCCCCCCACAGATGTCTGCCAGCTTACCCCCGGGTTCATGTCCCTGCAGGCGGCCCCAGGGCCTGCAGAGCGCAGACACGGTAGACTGTTTTGTGATCACAAGCCAGGGTTTGTAAACTACCTCCAGCCTCCTGAATGGAATCCCTTTGGACGTTTCCTCCTGAAGCTCTAGGCTCTGCAGGCAGCCAGCCTGTCAACAGGTCTTTGTGGGTGATGCTGTGAATTTTTGTCTATTTCTACACATTCGCATTTTTATGAGGAATTTGATTCTGGAGGCCCTGGAACTGGAGAAAACAACTCCTGGCCAAATCTTTCTCTTGTTTGAAGCCACCCTTCCCATGGGAAGATCAGGAGAGGCTTCCTCCTCTACCCTTTGCCTTGTCGGCCACCTGCCCCAGTCTGGTCTGCACCAGAGAACAGCCCCCCCCCCACCTGTATCTCCTTCCCCCAGATTCCTACCTTGAGCTCCATGAAAGGAGTAGGGACATGGTCTACTGTGAGACCCACACTATGGGCTTGATACCAGCCCTTGTGGGCCGGGCAGAGCTGAGAGCAGGGCTGTGGGTTCTTGTGGGCCCCTCGAGTTTGGGGCCCAGCCACCAGCAAGGAACACGCACCCAGAGCCCCACTGGGACAGTCAGAACTACTAGTAATAGTTATTGTTATTATAAAACGGAGGTTTTTTTTTAAGAAAAGATTTTTTTTTTTATGAGAGAGTGTGAGCAAGGGGAAGGGCAGAGGGAGAGGGAGCAG